CCGGGGGCCCCTTTCTCCAAACTTTAAAATGCTTCCCNGGGGTGTGACCCCTTTGACGATTGGGTTTTATTTATTTTTGAAAGGAATTTCTTTGGTTGGGGATTGGGGAGGTAATTTGGTTGCAGTTCCTTGGTTTTAAAAAATTTTGGAAATTTAAAATTCCTAAGAAAAATAGGATTTTTTTAGAGAGATTGATCATTTTTGGCCGCCATGGTGAGGATTTTAGGGTTTGAAATCCAAATCTTTCTTTGTAGGAAGGAAATGTGGGGTATAAAGAAACTGGGTATAACATATTCTTCTGTTAGTTCATGAAAATACATTCGAAGAAAAACCAATTCCTTTCAATAGTTTCAAGAAGGACAAAGGAAAAAAAGTTCTTGTTGGGACTAAATTGGTTTCAGAAGGTATTAATATTCCTGAACTGAAATATGTTATTTTGGTTAATTATCTTCCTCAAATTCACGAATATATCCAAACTGCTGGAAGAATTAGAGGAGATGGCGTATGTATTACACTGTGGAATGACGCATGTAGAGATGAATTCTCCATCAATTCCAAGTGTATCGTGAGCCAAATGAGTAGTTTCTATGGTCTAGCAAATATATTTGAGCATGAATCTTGTTGTGGTTCATATAAGTTTTTGAATAATAATAATAATGATAGGTTGTTGGAAGTGTTAGGTAAGAAGAAGGGAAAAAAAATTAACGGGTTGATAAAGGAAAGAAATGAAATTATTCAATCGAGTGTTGAGGAAGTTATTAGAAAGAGAAAATTTTGTACATCAGGAACGAATGAAATGATTCCTTCGAGGAAGAGGCAGAATAATGATATGGTCATAAATAATATTAAAGTTACTTTGAAAGATGATTTACATGCAAAATTTAAAAATGCACGTAATATTTTTGAATTCTTAGGAATTACTGGAAATTCTAAGTCAACTTTGATTGCTGATGGTGTCGAACAATCCTACTTTGATTTTCTTCTTTATGATTCTGATTTTGTTTATTATGATTCTGATTTATGTTCTGATTGTACAGGTACTGATGGTATCTGTTATTGTTGGGACAAAAAATTCACTTTAAAGCAATGTGGTATTAGCTGTTTTGCTTTTATGAAAATGGCTATGACTGATGAAATGTTTTCAGCTGAAATAAATAAATTAACGAATTCAAGTCTATTAGAAAGAACACTATCTTTTGTTGAAAGAAAATCTTCCATGAAAGAGTTATTTAAGACAAATCTATCTGGATATTGTAAATTTGTGACCAACGGGAATATTCTCGAAGTGAATAAATCTCTTGATTTCAGATTGATTGTATCAACTTATAACTGGCAGTGGAAAAAGCTTAAGGATGAAAAGTTAGATGTCTTTTGGTATTTCTATGATGGGTCATGTCGTGATGCTACAACATTATGGGACGAACCATATGAAGTATATTATAGGAAACTTGTTCGATCGAAATTCAGCGATTATGCAAGCGTTTCATTTAAGGCCACTGAGGATACCAGTTTTAAATTTTTTAAATCACTATTTAATTTCAAAAAAGTTAGTGAATGTTCAAACTATAATGAAATTGAAGATATGAGGGAACGTTCGAAATTTGGTAATATTGACTTAGATTTGTTTGTTATTGATAATAAGAAATTTCTATTGATGATACTTGGTCTCTATTATAATGTTACATCTCGAAACATTTTGAACAACTTCTATACCCAGTTGCCTAATGTAAAAATGTTCCACCAGTGGATGAAACTACAGAGGACCTAGATAAATATTAAAACATTGAATTTGCGTAATGTCAACATATGTCAGCCATTATATTATTATTATCCTAAATTTGTATTAGAACTCAAACATCCTAGAAAAATATACTAGTTAAGTTTGTACTGGAGATATATTAACTGTGTATATTAAAATTGATTTAAATCTTTGTTGTGATGTCAATGTGTATTACATATAAAACCATTCATTATAATAACCAAACGAAATAAATTAAAAAATATCCACAAAAAAAAATTATCAGGATCCATTTCATAAAACCATCATACCTTCCAAAGCTGACATCTCAATTCCAAGCAAAAGGGAAAATTCAATTTTTATTTCTTCAAAACCATGTTTGACCCCGAAAAACAAAACTCGACAAACAAACAACAAAAATTCAATTTTAAAAAAAATTTCTTTTAACCCCCTTCAAAAAAAGAAAAAGCCTTTCCGAGTCAAAAAAATCCATTTTTGGAAAATGACGTCAAGTTTCCTTTTTTGGATTTTAAGAAAAATCACGTGAAAAATATTAGGTAGGGTAACAAAATTGATTTTTCAAGTTGGTCACGTTTTCAAGGACAAAAATTACGTATTCAATGATATGACATCGGTATAAGTTTTCGAAAGCGGCTAAAAATATCATGCCTAATGATGCTTATGATTTACATCCAGATAAGAAAAAAGAAATGACACAAAATCGTAATCAATGAGCGATATAGAAAATATAAAAAAAGAAAATATATTTATTTGCGGGTAACAATAAATAGCCGCCAATAACATAATGATCCAATGTTCGGGTAATATGGTAGGGTAATTCAATATTAATTTACCCTGTCAAAATATTATTACCCTGTTGGATTCTGGGAATCAGTAGATGACAATCTTAAGTTATCCAGATCTAACCCTATGTCTGAAAGATATACTTTGCTGACAGGAACACATTCAGGGTAACTGTTAGTTTTCAAAAGGTATATAAGCAGACCAGATTTCAAGTTTCTAGAAAATATTTTCTCTTTTCTAATGTTCACTTTATGAACTAAATTATATTTTATATTTTGTATACTATATTTAGAATTTATAAAAAACCAAGAGCTTGAATAAACAACTAACGTATAATTGTACTTATACCTTAGATCTCAGTTAATATATCCACTATCACTCCAGTACAACCATGTCCCACCCTGATCAACAGTCCAATAACACTCACCTATTCCAATCTCAAGAAATAGGTGCCGTCCTGGTTTCGAACCTGCGCAAACAGGTTATGAGCCCTGCCAATGCAACCGACCTTATTCCCATTGAACTACTTGGTGTCCAAAACTATGATATGTGGTATCATTACTTTATGCAAGTAGTTGGTGAAGCCAGTCACATTTGGTCAGAATATGTTGAAACTGGAGATATTCAATCCGTTAGAATTGAATATGGATTACCTGATATTCAAATCAAGTCTATGAAAATAATCTTAGACACTAATCTTGTTTCTCTTATCAAAAAGAATGTTTCTAAAGATATTGAGAAAAAGATTAGAAACTCCTTCCTGATGACTAAAAGATCTGGTCCAACAGGATTGTTACTTTTAGAGTACTTAAAAAAGAAGTATGGTAGGAAATGTGTTAAGTCCACCATGCCTATTTTT